CAGCCCTGGGGGACGGTGTGGGAGAGACCAGCGGCACGGGATCACGTATTCCTTTTCATCTGCGTGGCTTTTGTTTTTTACAGTGCGTCTCTGAGTCCAGCCCCTCGCCCCAAATGATGCCTTCCTAAAACCAGACGCGGCGGGTAAGTTCAGGGGCACAGGGCAGGGCGCGAGGGACCTTGACGTCTTTCCCACCTTTCCGTTTTCTTCTGGCCAACACCACCGGCTCAGAGCGTTCCCCATCCCCGCCTGGACCGGAGATCTGGTGACACTCATTATCCCTGAGTGTCACCATATTACCGGTGACACTCATTATCCCTGCAGGCATGTCTGCCTGTCTTTTTTTATTATTATTATTTTTTATTTTTTGTAAATTAAATTTAAAACAAGGAAATAGCCTGGGCAGGACCCAGGGAAGTAGGAGCTGAAAGGCACAGAGCACATATAAAGATGCCATTCGGTACCGGGCAGGAGGTAGTTTCCAAAAACTTCTCTCACCACAGGTCTCTTACCCACCCCCTTTCAGGAGAAATCAACAGGAAGGGAGACCCTACCCTCCTTTTTGGTCCTGCCCTCCTACTCCTAACCAAAATAGGTTGGGTTTTATTTCTTTCTCCTTTAAGAACACGTTAAAGACCTTGTGCACATCTTTGCTTTGGTGACAGATGCTGACGGAGGAAGGACCTACAGCTAGAGATCTTGCCCAGGACTCTCTCCCCTGAGGGAAATGGTGGGGCTGGGGGAAGGGAGCCGCCAGCCACACAGGGGTGTAACTTTAGCTCTCACCTTGGCGTTCACCCTTAACTTTCCTCGGCTCCGGAACCCAGGGCCTGAAAGGCTGGCTTGGCTGGTTCGGGCTGCTGACTCAGGAGCACCGAGTGCTGAGAGATGCCACACTTCCCAGCGTATTTCCATGGGGGACTGGGAAGGGTGTGAGGGGGATGAAGAGGGGATTCAGGAGAGTAAGTGAATCAATGGCACCTAGGTAAAGAAGCTTACATTATAATTTGGGGTTTTAAAGGATCTCGGAATCCCAGGCCAGTCATAGATGATAATCAAGGAACAGGGGGGAATGTACATCCCAAAAGAAGAGAGAATGCTTCCATCCAGAGCTAGAAATAGTAACATTAGAATATGTAAATTCTCCTTAAAACCGTGGCCACAGGGAAAGGGATGGTCTAACAGGCTACACCATTAGATAAAATAACTCCAGTCCTTTACAGCATCTGAAGCAGAACTTGGAGGAGACATTTCTTCCGGTCACAAAGCTGAGTTTTGGTGTTGATGTGGCACTCCCTGAACAGCCGGGGCCTCTCAGGGGCGGTGCCCAGCAAGCAGGCCTTTGCAGTGTTCCCCAAAGTGTGGTACGTGTACCCCCAGGGGTACCAGAAGAGTTTGGTGGGGGTACTCATTGCACCAGAGTTTGGTGGGGATATGCACTGCAGTGGCTTAGCTGCAAGTACCGTATTTTTCGGACCATAAGACGCACCAGTTTTTAGAGAAGGGAAATGAAGAAAAAAAGATTCTGAAACAAATAGTGTCCTAAAATATTTTATGTGCATTAAAACCCAACATCACAGTCATAAACACATGTAATCAACCCTGTAAAGTAAACAGCAGCATTTAGAACCATTTTAGAGCCGGGCAAGCACACAGAGACCACACAGAGCCGGGCAAGTAAAAAAACTTTTTTTAAAAAGTATATGTGTAGGCTATATTTGGACCATAAGACGCAGGGACTTTTTCCCCCCACTTCTGGGGGAAAAAAAGTGTGTCTTATGGTCCGAAAAATATGGTAATTCTACGTTCTCATGAGTACGAGGGGGACTCAGCGTTAGGAAAATTATAGAAGGGGTACACATATGTCAAAAGTTTGGGAACCACTGCTCTAGGGCATGCGCTTTTCACCTGCATTGTAGCTAACGACGATGATGAAATTTCCACGGTGACGGACTGAAGCAGCCCTTTTTGAAAGAGCCAACCTGGACACAGAGATGACACGGGTGGCACCAATGTCCATCCTGTGCCAGCAGACACGGATTCCTAATGGTCTGGGACTTGCTTCTCTGCGCGCAGTGAGCTACGTGTCCCGCGGCATCTGATCTCCTTCCCACTATGCATGGTAGGCTACATACAAATAAGATCTAATAAGCACAACTGCAGAAAAGTATGATATATACAAGCAACCAGTAGTCTCGCCCGGGCAGTTTCTCTCCACGTCCACCCCAAATGGACTTTCTTACAGATCCACCTGCACGCTCGCCTTCCTCATGAGAACTACTCTGTGTGTGTTTTCTTGTGCCAACACCCACATCATGGGCTTGATGATAGGCATTTTTTTTTATTTTATTGCTTTTTAAAATACATTTTATTTTTCACAGAGAGGAAGGGAGAGGGATGGAGAGTTAGAAACATCGATGGGAGAGAAACATCCATCAGCTGCCTCTTGCACACTCCCTACTGACTACGTGCTGCAACCAAGGCACATGCCCTTCACTGGAATCGAACCAGGGACCCTTAAGTCTGCAGGCCGACGCTCTAGCCACGGAGCCAAACCGGTGAGGGCTGAATGGCATTTTTAATGGAATTAGAGGGCCAAACCAGCTGAAAGAAGAAAATGAAAGTCATGTACATGAGCGTGTAAGGTAGGTAACGTGACCAGCTAGAAACCGAGCCCTTGGTCCCTGAGGCTCAGTCTCCCGAGGCCAGCAGCCACTCTGACCTCTCCCTGTGGCACATCCTCTTCTCCTGTGCACTTGCCTGCTCTGGATGTGAGGGCTCGGGCTATCCCTGAGCACTCCGAATAAAAGAGAGGGCACCGGCCTGGTCTGTCCAGTGGCATCAGCCTCCTTCCATTCTCCCAAACCTGCGTCCTCCTGCTGCTGCTGCCGCAGGTGCTGCTCCGCCTGCTTCCGGCCCTCGCTACCCTCCTCCGGGGTTGTTTTCCGTCTTGTGACACTGCAGGAACCATGGGCTCGGGGTATCCCGCGGAATGGTCGGAATGGCACACAGGATGTCTCCTCTTGAACTGAGACACCCAACCTCCAAGCCCTGTTATTACAGCAGTGCTGCTGGGTAAGTGTCCTTGCAAAATGCTACCTTCTACCGACAGACACTGAGACTCCCCCTCTGGAGGCAGCGGAAATTCAAAGTTATCGGCATGCATCAACTTCGAGAAGCGAGACAAAACACTCCGGGTGGCTTGTGCTAACCTAAAGGAGAAAGGCAGCATAAACCTCTCTCTCTCTCTCCCTCCTCTTCTTCTGTGGCAAACTTACAAGTATGAAGAGATCAGATTGAAAGGAGAGAGACAACAGGGGTGGGTGGACATGACTCTTACATCTTACTTTGGGTCAAATATCCAAAAATTTCAGGGCAGCAGGACTGGGCCTGCAAGGCTGCCTGTGGACTCACCCCCAAACCAGTGAGTGCATCTCCCCAGCGCCACACATCAGTCAGCTGCGGCTGAAAGCCCCTTTCCAAAAGCCAGAAGCTTTTGCAGACTTCCACAAACTCCTTGGAAGTGTGTGTGTGGGGGGGGGGGGGGTGGAGTGCCAGAAGTTTTATCCCAGTCCTACCTTTGGGGCTCTCCCTCGAAAAATTCAAACAAACCCCTTTAACACCCCCCCCCGCCCCCTCTCCCCAGAAGATCGGTGCTTTTCCTTTTCTTTCCTATTTGCCCCACCAAACACTTGTCAGTTGGACTCCAAGAGCCTACAATCAAAGGAATGCTTGGGTTGGGCAGGACCTCGAGGTAGAGATTCGCAGGAGAAAAGAGCCTCATCTGGGGTTTGCAGACCAGAGGCCTGGGGGAGGGAAAGGGATGGAAGCAGCGGGGTGGGCGGAAATCTGTCCGCCTCCAGAGCTCAGGGCAGACCCACTCTCTCTAAGGCACCACGCAGGAGAGAAGAGCGAGGAGAGAAGAGCGAGCACAGGTAAGGGAAGCAAGAGTCTTAGTCTCTGCTCCTTATGCTACAGCATGAGGTCCAAGCCTCCTGGAACCTGGGAAACGGCTCTCCAGATATGGCCTTCCCACGGCAGGTTAAGTTTTTGGTTGGTTTGATTAAAAAAAAAAAAAAAATATATATATATATATATATATATATATATATATATATATATATATATATATATATATATAATTTTAAGATTTCAGAGAGGAATGGAGAGAGAGTGAGAGAGACAGAAACATCAATGATAAGAATCACTGATCGGGTGCCTCTCGCACACCCCCAACTGGGGATCCAGCCGCAACCGGGCATGTGCCCTTGACTGAATCAAACCCAGAACCCTTCCGTTCACAGGCTGGACACTCTATCCACTGAGCCAGACCGGCTATGGCCGCAGGTCAAGTTTTGTGTGTATTTCTTTAAACCACAGAGGCAGCTGAAGGCGGCCTGAGGAACCTATTGAAAGACTTGAGCAATTTTGCAAAAGCAGCTCACAGTGGCCACACCAGGTTCTGGGCCCTCCCTATCCGTTTAGAAGCCTTCCTGGCCTTTTTTTTTTTATACTATTGCTTCTACATGAGACTTCTTTCAACAAAGTGCAAGTCGCTGCGGACCACAGCGCGCTACCAGACAGGCTTGGGGTTAGCTCCAGTTCCCTGGGGCCCAAAGAACGCCCGGCCCGGAGTCCGCCAAGTCCTGCACCTACAGGCTCCAGTCTCTCTAAAAAGCCCTAAGGCGGGGCACCCCTCAGCACGGCGGTGTGCACGCCCGCGTGGGTGTTCATTTGGACCCGTCACGACCTCTTTGGCCACCCTTCGCACAGTCCCGAAGTTTGGCTGGAGCCCCAAGCACCTTCCTCGCGGGCGGCGTCCGAGTTCCCCCTCCAGGAGGCAGAGGGAAAGCCGGCGGCGGCCCGGAGAATGGGAACCGGCGAGGCCAAGTTTGGAGAGGAAGGCCCGGCCAGGCCCCCACTTCCCCAAACCGTCCCCAAACCTTCCCCAAAGCGTCCCCAAACCTCCCCGCAACCCCGCCCGCCCGCAGCGCTCTTACCGGGCTTGGCGAGCGGCGGCTGCAGCGGCCCGGGCCGGGGCTCGGCGGCCCAGCGCAGCGCGGCGGCGGCGGCCAGCTCGGCGGCGGGGCGCGGCGGCGGGGCCGGCTGCGGGCTCGGCGGCGGCGGCTGCGGGGCGGCGGCGGCGTCCCCGGGCGGCGGGGGTCCCGGCAGGGCGCGCAGCGAGTCGGGGATGAGGCTCTCGAGGCTCTCGTTGGCCTGCTGCCGGCGGAGGGCCACCTGCGCCGCCATGACGCGCTGCCGCTCGATGATGAGGATGCACTTCTCGCACGTGCAGTCCTTGAAGCGGCAGTAGCGCTTGTGGCCCTTGAGCCAGGACAGCACGCCGTGGTTGCGGCAGCGCGCGCACTTGGGGGTGCGCTGCAGGGGCGCCCGCGGCGGCTGCGACACCGGGCCGCCCACGTACAGGTACGGGGAGCCGTAGCCGTTCATGCCCCGGGCTCCCCGGAGAGCGAAGGGCGGGCGGGCCGGCGGCGGGAGCGGGACGGCGGGGCTGGGAGGCCCGCTCCGGGGCGGCCGCGTGCGTCCCGAGGCGGCGGCTGGAGGTGCGGCGGCCGGTTCACATCTCCCGCGGCGCTCGCACCCCGGACCTCCCTCCGGCGGCGGCTCCGCCAACCCCGGGCCGGCAGGTCCTCCCGCGCCGAGCGCTCAGGCGGCTGCGAGGTGCCGGCGGCGGCGCTGGTGACGCTCTAAGCCAGCTTGGCCGAAGTGGCAGCGCGCGGCCGGCCCCAGCAGCACCTCCTCCCCCGCCCTCCCCCTCCTCCGCCTCCCCCCGCACCCCCCGCAGGTCCCAGGCTCCTGGCGCTCCCCACCCCGCTCCCCGCCGTCTTCCTGCCAGGCGCCCCCGGAGTCGCTCACGGCGCCTCCCGTGCCCCCTGCAGCCCGGCGGGCGGCTCCCGCGGGGGCGGTCACGGCCCCTCCGCCCGCCCCTCCGCGCTGCGCCCTCCCCGGCCGCACAGACTGGTGCTCGGGGTGCCCCGTTGCTCACCGGGCGCAGAGAGGGTGTGGGTGCCCGCGGGAGAGTGAGGGTGCGGGTGTGGGTGCCCGCGGGAGGGTGAGGGGGCCGCCCCCCTGCTCGGCCTTCCCTCCAGGTTTGGTCTGGCGGCGCCCAGCCCGCTGTGATGCCAACACTTGGCCTCGGAAACTCGGCTCCGCGAGAACCAGCACCCACCGCGGCACGGATTCCAGAAATGTTGTCTCTGTATATCTTTTTGCAACTTTAAAAAACAAAATCATGCTGCTGCAAAAGAAAACGTTTTTGAACACTTGCTGGCCCAAGGATAACAACTCCATTTTGCTGGCACAGCCCACCCCAGTTGGTTCCTGTATCCTCCTTCCCCCCAAGTTTTAATCAACACGCTCATGCAGAGGACTTTCTCCATGCTGGGTCTGAACTTTCAGAACAGACTTGGGGGCCATGATAACGCTCTGAAGTTACTGGATCCGATCTCCCCTCTGCCTAAGAGCCACCGACCCACCCAAAGGAGACCCGCGTCCCCCAATCCAAACCCCCGCGGACTCTATGGCTAGGGGTGGCGGCATTTCTCTCTCCCCACACCCTATTGCCTTTGGGTAGGCATGGAAGGGGTCCCTGCCCAAGATGACAGCATAAAACTTTGTTTAATTTGTTACTTGTTGGGTTCTCATCTCCTAAGAGTGCCTACCCTTTTGGCCTAATGCAGACTGCTGCCATACACACAGGGACAACAAAACATCCCTCCCCCAACAGCACAAAACCAGATGCAGGTGGATATGGTGCATACAGGGCCTGGGGGCCGCACAAGGGCTGGATGAGGAGCCGGGAGGTGGCAGCCGGGCGGCGGGGCGGGTATAATCCAACCCGGGAGGAGAGCGTGGACCGGTCCGCTGCAAAAGTCAACCCTCTGGCCGAGCCTTCTCCCCTGGGGGGGGGGGGGGGCGCTTTCCTCCGCCTGGAAACAGACAAGCTACCGGAAAATGTCCCTCTGTGTTTTCAGCGAATTCAAGTAGCCAACCCCCACCCCACCGCAGAACAGTGATTGGGGGTAGGGGGTGCAGGAAAAAAAGGGTTAAAAAGGGAACCCGGTTGTGTGCTTCCCCTAGAAGCCACCTTGGGGTCAGACCTCTCAGGGAGTTGGGGATCACAGGGCGCTGTCCAGGTGGGGCCTGGCAGGAAGCTCCTGCAGGAGAATGCTAACCCTGGAAGCCCCCCCCCCCAACACACACACACACACACACACACACACACACACACACAAAGTGCGTGGGGCAGGAACCCCATCTGTCTTCTTGCCATCCCCACCCCTCACCACCACCAACCACCACCTCAATCCTTCCTTCCCCCCCAGTCTTCGCTAGGAAAACAGGCCCTAACACACTAAGACTGTGAGGGACTTGGTAAGCTCCGGGGCTGGAGGTAGGTCCCCCGCAGCCCAGTGGGCCAGAAGCCAGGCAGTGGGGAGCTGGCAGGGAGTCGCTCCACGTGACAGAGAGAATGACACTGAAACCAGGAGAGTGACACTGAGTCTGGGAGCATTAGTTCTCCCTGAAATCTCTTGGGGTCTCTTGGCCTCGGATGGTGTGGGTCGAAGGACCATGGGCTTTTTTCAAAGTCCAGTTTCTCCGAAGTTTCTCCAAATGGTCAGCGAAACAGGGACTATAAAGTCTTTGGGAATAAATCTTTTTTTCCACTTTTCTTTTTAATGAAAACAGCAGACCTGGGCACCAGGTTTTGGGGACGGAGAGACAGTCCCACTTGCTAGGCGACCCCCTTTCCTCCCTAGCCACTCTATCCCCTTTGCCACTCAAAACAAGAGTTTGGCATTATTTGGTCCCTGGCTGGTCCACTCCAGTGCACACCGGGGGCTGAGAGCTAAATACTCATTTGACATAGCGTAATAATCCTTTTCTCATATTTGATGGGAATGTTTTCCATATCCCAGTATTTGACAACATCTCCCTATAGGGACAGGTTTGTATTTATGTTGGTGGAATGTCCCCTGCCTCCGAGTCTATTGTAACCCAACACCTGACAACCCCGAGTCCCATTTCTGTTTGCAGAAAGGGTTTATTCAAGCACATAATGGGATCCCAGCAGAAAGCCTCCCCGAACAAGGGGCTCTGGTAAACTTCACCACATGAACTCCGTTTCCAGGGCTATTAAGCTTTTAATTGGAAAATAGCAGAGGAAATTTCAAGGTGACTATAACGTTGTTAGCAGTGAGTGCGGAGAAGAAAAGCCGAAGCGGGGATGAATGTGGAAAGCATATGGTCCGAATCACATTTAGGAGGAGCGAGCGGCCTGCTTCTAAGTGCCCGGCAGCTTACACACTTCTGGGAAAAATAATCAAAGACTTTGGGACAGGGAGGGGGGGAAGGATTACAAATAAATGTAATCTCACTAGGCCGGGCCCACTCGTGTTCTGCTTTGGGTGGGTGGGGTGTGTGTTTTCAAGCCACAAATAGCTGGGTAGCGTGGTGACAGTAACAGTGAAAGATCATGTGCCTAATATGTTTTTTTTTCCGTGGCGCAGCACAGTGTCAGGGTTTATCTACCTAACAGCTGGAGGTGTGCAGGTGTCCTTTGCAGAGAAAAGGAGGATGTTCTGACTCCGAATCTGGGAGTCCTGCCAGCTGCTCCTCACCTCCAGAAACAATCAAAGGGACAGTTTCATATTGTCCGGATTGTGTAATATACATCAGGGCATTTTCTGCTTTGCTGGATTCTCATGGAGGCGGAGGTCAGGGTTCCTATGTTGTCGTTTTAATCTCAACCGCGGTGACGCTGGAAGCGGGAGGGGGTGGTGCGTGCAGAAAGCCCTTTGAATGCAGAAAAAACAGGCCCCTTTCCCAGCATATGAACTTCTCAGCTCTCACCCTGACCATGCCTCTGAGCATCTGTCTTTGGCCAGCTTCAAAATGAAATGGGGGGGGGGGGGGGGACGGGACGGGACACAAATGTCTAGCGAGGCCTCGGTGGGGCAACCGGCAATCGATATCTTCAGGTGATAATAATGCCCTTGTTCCCCCTCAATTAATTGGGGAGAAACCCTGGAACACTCCCCCCAAGACACCCTGACGCCGCCCTCGCGGGTGTGTGGGGCGGCGGCCGCGCTGAACCTGCGTTTGCAGGGCAGGAAGGTCCGGGGCGGTTCTGCCCTCGCTCCCTTTTGGCAGTGGGAGGTCAGGGAGTCTCCAAGGGCCCAGCCTTTGGGGAGCAAAAGGGGGCGCGGGGTGCTGCTCGCTCCTTCCAGCTCTCGGAAGCCAGCAGCGACTCTGGCCTCGGAAGCTGGGCTCCCTCCGGGGCAGATTCCCCAAACCCAGGCCGCGCCCACTCCCATCTTTTGGGGTGAGGTGGGGGGGGGGGGTCGCTCCTGTGTTGCTTCCTCCAAAGGGCTCACTGAGAGCGACCTTAACTGCGGGCTTCCTTCCGAAGGAAGGACACGGAAAGCGCTTCCTCCGAGCGCTCCCCACGGAGCCGGGGCCGGGCTGCTTCCCCGAAGGCCCCGGGCGGGCGCAGCCGCTCAGTCTCCGCTCCGGGCTCCGGCCCAGGGGCGCCGCCGGGGCCTGGGCAGGTTCCTTCGGGCCGGGAAGCCGAGGCCTCGGTCCTTTGAAGGGGGGGCCCCCCCCGCTCTGGGCTCCCGGGCCGGCCGGACACACCCCGCGGGCAGCAGGAAAGCTGGAGGGGCTGAGGGCGCCGGTCCCATCCACAACCCCATTTCGCAAGAGGGTCGCAGAGGGCGGCCCTAAGCCTAAAGGAAAAAAAGAAAAGAAAACGAAAACGCGTCCCCAACAAGGTAAAGTGAGAACAGCGATGGCTTTAAAAGTTTTACGATTATCTTATGCCTCTAAAATTCCAAACAAAGCCGAGGAAACCTCTTCAGGTCATCAGTGCAATATTCAAGGGACAAGAAAGTCTTGCCTTGCCCTAGCTGGTTTGGCTCAGTGGATAGTGTCCGCCTGCGAACTGAAAGGTCCGGGGTTCGATTCCAGTCAAGGGCACATGCCCGGGGTTGTGGGCTCCATCCCCAGTGGAGGGCTTGCAGGAGGCAGCCGATCAATGATTCTCTCTCATCATAGATGTTTCTCTCTCTCCTTTTCCCTTCCCCTCTGAAATAAATAAAAATGTTTTTTTTTAAAAAAGGAAAGTCTTGCCTAGGGTTCGCTCATGGGGCTCTGGCGCAGCTCTTCCCAGAATTCTCTCCCGCCCCCTTCTTTCCTCCTCCCTGGCTGTCCCAGAACAAAGCCCCGCGGCGGGGAGCGGGAAACCGGGAGAAAGGGCGGGCTCCCCGGGAAGAAGACCCAGCGGCCAGGTCCTCCACCTCCGAGAACCAGGAGGCCACACGGCCGGCGCCGCGCGCCCGGCGCGGGCAGTGGGAGCGAGCACCAGCCGCCGAGGCCGGGCCCGCGGGAGAAGGACGCAGCACTGCGCGAGGCGCGGGGACCGGAGAGCCGACCCAGCCCGGGAAATTCAGGCTGAGACCCGGGAAACTCAGGCTGAGACGGGGCACACTTTACCCA